AGAGAGAAGAAAACAAGATGCGTCAAAGAGTGAGATTGAGTGCGCATAAAGTGAGGCAAATACATCAAGAGGAAGATAGACACTGTCACCAACGCCGAGGTAAAGATATGAAGACCATCTGCCCCAACAAGACCACAGTAAGGAACAGAGAGCAAGCATTTCGAAGAGCAAGAATATACCGCAAGAGCACACAGTTGTTACTGTTTTCCGACTAAATCAACCTAAACCCGGGGCACTCACCTGGTGGTGGTGGTGGTGGTACTTGGCGGCGTGCAGGCCGTGGTAGTAGGAGCAGAACTTGAAGAGGTGCGTGAGCGCCGGGAACAGGAACAGCAGCACCTTGAGCAGGATCTTCTTGGCCGTGCCCACGCCCAGGATGATGGGCATCAGGAACATGGCGGCCACTTTGAGCAGCTTCACCACCAGCAGCAGCGCGAACAGGGCAAGCAACAGCCGCCGCCGGATCTTCTCTGCGGACAAAATTAGCTTAATGACACCTGTCGCGTCACGATGCGAGTGCGGGTCCGCCCGCAAACGTTTTATCCGGACCCCTTTATAGAAGTGAATAGCGAACACAAGTGGTGTTAAAGAAGTAAAATAATAAAACATAAAACTGTAAGAATATAACTCCTATAAACCTCCTAAATAATAAAAATATAACTATGAAAATATAACTATGAATATATAACAATAACTATGAAAATATAACTATAACTATGAAAATATAACTATAACTATGAAAATATAACTATAACTATGAAAATATAACAATGAAAATATAACTACAAAAATATAACTATGAAAATATAACTATAAAAATGTAACTATAAAAATGTAACTATAAAAATGTAACTATAAAAATGTAACTATAAAAATGTAACTCCTACAAACACATTCGAATTAATCAGCCTACGATGAACCAACTGTGGAAAACTCTACCTTAATTATTTAATTTCATGAAATTAATTCTGCTATAAAACTTAAATGAATTGGTATCTATATTGATTAACAAATATATAAGTTACCTAAGTGGAAAAATAGTTCTGCTATAAAATGCTGTTTTAATCGTTTATTTTATAATCTGTCCCAATGTGTTAGAGAAAATATTAAGTAAGTAATATTTCTTACAATCGCAAAATCTTCAGCCTAAAAACAGGCCTTCTTTTACCTGGGCCTGTCCGCATCGCGGGCTTTGCGGGCCTGAACGTTACGCTACTGGGCGGCGGTTTCGGAAAAGAAGGGTGCTACCACAAATGCGCTGAAATTTATTCAAAGTTGGCGTTCATCTTTAACTAAACAATTGAGGCGCTCAGGATAATAACAGAGGATCCCAACTAACCTCGCATTTTCAGTTAGAAGTTTAATGGTAAACTCCTGCCACAACTTATCATATGATGAAATATCAAATGATTTGGGATATGGCAAAACTATCAAATTTAAAATGTTTGTACGGTGTGAAAGTGAACGTGAACAAAAACAAAAATATTTTTTCTTGAAACGAACTTCGGTTGGTATCTTCCCTTATTATTTTCAACGCCTCAATTATAAGTTTTCCTTGGCATAAAGTAAGAGAGACGGTAAGGCATTTCAAATATACCGGGCTTACAACTGTATAATTTTTACTTGCAAAAACTCGCGGACCTCGTTACAGAGAGTACAGCTATGTGTCTAAGAACGTATAACATTTCTATTTCGTAGAGTGTTAACAAGGAGCAGCATTGTCCAAACCGACGTGATAGATAAATTCTCTGAACAGAGCTATTTCCTATGAAGAAGCCGTTTGCTCGTTTTGTTTAAATCAGCATCCGGAACAACTGATGGACAATCGTGTCGCAAACGCATCGGAAGATTCGGAAGATCGCATTTTTGCGTACAATTTGAGACGCCACATTGATATAGCATACAACTTCTTCACACTTTAGCTATAAAAAAATATACAGCAATAACTAGCTGTGTTCTCAGTCCCCAAGGGATACTTTTTTCGACGTATTCAAAAAATTTTGTAGCCCAACGCCGACACCTACACACCGTCATACTTATGTTTCCCTATTCTTAGTAACACTGGCTAGCTCCTCGAAACGTTTTACCTTTGATCTTGTCAGACATGACTTTTCTTGCTAGATCTCGTCCTAAAAGCTCTTTACAATAATTTTTTGTGATATCTACTGTTTGAAAAAAGCATCGTTTTAGATTCAAGTAGTTTAGAGTTCAGCACGAACTATTATTTTTTATTTCGTCAATTCGGTTATAAAATAAATTAAATGTATTTTGATTAAAAATGATTTGTATTCTACTAGTGTGTACTCTACATTGGTGTAAAAATATATTATATTTTTAATATCATACGTACACAGAGCGATCTATTAAATTATGACACTTTGAACTTCGATTCATTTTCTTAAATATCATGTTTGGACATCACGACTTAATGACAAACCGAATTTTGTCCTAGACTGAAAATGTTTCTACCTAATTAGAAGTTTTCCTCTCAATGTATATTCCTTCGTGAAAACACAGAATAGTAACCAAGAAAAAATAATTTCGAAGAAAGCAGGCAGTATGCTCTCCAATTACTCGCAGTAATGTAGGAATCTCTCACTTCTTGAGGTCAGTTAGAAGAGAAACTGACAAATAAAAACTTTGGAGGAACAATTGGAGGTTTGTCGACCTGAATAGCGCAGTGGTGGAGTTGTGGTTTCGAATTCGAGGTAGGACGTCTAAATCATCATGCGTCGTTTCATAATTTCTCAGAAACCTCACACAAGTCCTATATTGTAGGTCGATAATATACCGTTAAGAACTTGGTAATGAAAAAGAATCGGAGAGAGATAAAGAGAGAGATGCAAACAAAGAAGAGGAATAAATAGAGAATGAATAATACTGATAAAAATAATAATAATAATAATAATAATAATAATAATAATAATAATAATAATAATAATAATAATAATAATAATAATTGGATAATACACCAAATACGTTATTTGAAGAATCTGAACAGTTTGTACTAATATTTCAATTCATCGAAGTGTTTGTGTCCATATAAACAGAAGAAGAGCATTGTTATTGATTGTGTCTGCATTATTCTTGTATTTGTATAAAATCGTGTACTTCCAACATTTAATCCTTCGAACGAATGCTGTAGCTAACCTTGCGAAACACCGGTTGTTTTGAGAAAACAATTTCATTAATTGCACTGAATTAACTGAACTGATCTTAATACGTTGTAATAACCAAGTTAAACTCAAAACGAGGCATGTTGGGGACTGGCTGTGTTGGAGCCAGGAACTGGCGCGTGTTCGACATCGCTGCCCCCTCCCCCGAGGCAGAAGGAAGAGAAGCCGTGACGAAGCCGCGCCCTGCTTCCACGGCTCCAGGAGGCCATGCGATAATCTGTAGCGCACACACCTCGCGCCGGAGAGCCGCCGCCCCGCCTCGGCAAACACCAGGCCTCGCCGCTCGCCGCTCCGTCGCTTCGTCCGCTCGTCGCTCGACGGGCAAGCGGGAGCCCCCGGGGGCGGGAAGGCGGGGCGGGAGCGGAGCGGGGCGGGGAGACGGGCGGTCGCTGGGGTGGGTTGGGGTTTTTGGGGCTGGGCTGGGGCCGGAGCCAGGGTCCAGAACGAGACTGGGGTAAGGGGACAGACTAATGGTGGTGAAGGCGAAGATGGAGGCGGAGATGAAGGTGAACGCGTGTGAAGGTGAAGGAGGATGCGGATATGGAGGAGAAGGCGAGTAAAGGTGAAGGAGGAGGCGGGTGAAGGCGAAGGAGGATGCAGAGGTGAAGGTGAAGGAGAAGTCGAAGGAGGAGGCGGGTGAAAGCGAAGGAAGAGGTGGAGGCGAAAGCAAAAGAGGAGGCGGAGATAAGAAAAAAGCGAGTAAAGGTGAAGAAGGAGGTGGGAAAAGGCGAAGGAGGAGGCGGGAGGAGGTGGAGACGAAGGCGAAGTTGGAGACAAAGGCTTGGGGGACGACACAAGTTGACGTGGAGGTGGGGGCGTAAGGGGAGGTGAAGAACTGAGGTGATGATGAAATTGGGGGAAAATTGGTGATGAGGGTAACTATTAAGTATAAGTGAAGGCAAAAATAGAAGCGAAATTGAGGTCGGAGGCGTCTCCATGGTGGAAGAGACGAATACAAAGGGGCGGATGCGAGGCTGGAAATAAAGGTGGATGAAGATGCAATTGTTGAGGCGGATACGAAGGCGAAGGCAGTAGAGTAGGCGTAGGCAAACGTGAAGATGCAACAGAAGGCCAAGATTAATGCGAAAGCATAGGTGAAGATTGAGCCGGCAGTAAGAATGAGGCGGATGCGAAGGGGAATAGGGAGGTGGAGGGGATGTGAAGGAAGAGGAGAACTCTGTAATGAAGACAATAACAGAGGAGAGTGTGAATGTCAAATCGGGGATGATTGTGAAGGCGGTAGGGGCGGAGATAAAGGCGGAGATTGATTGATTGATTGATTGATGGTTAGTAATTCCGGGCACGGCAACTACCGAGGTCACTTGTACCGTAAGTGTAGTGTATATTTTTGCCCGGCAGGTGGCTGTGGTCTTTCCCCATCTGTATGACCAGATTCGGCGCCGACCTACCGTGGGCTAGCGGGGTTATTCCCTATCCAGCATCAACCATCAGCGGGGAAACGCCCCAGCCGGGACAAGTTCTAACCTCCAGACAGGACTCCAGGCATATGTGCTAGTGTAGTGTACGTTAGTGTATGTGTGTTTAAGGGATGAGGATAGGACAAGAATGAGGAAGAAAAGATCGCACCCCGTTTGTTAAGGTCCTGCCATGGCATTCGCCTAGTTCTGATCGGATAAACCACGGAAAACTACCGTTTAGAGCAGCCAGCCTCTAGAATTCTCCCTCAGACAGCGATTGAATTCGACCTAGCTAAAGAGCTTGTGCCGAAAATCCTGCCACCGAGTGGAACATAAGACCTCCCGGTCAGAGGCACTGCAGTGACATCAGTTGAATCCCAGACACCTCCCAGTGCGGAGGAGGAGGTGAAGGCAAAGAAGGCGGGAGCGCAGGCGAAGAGGAGTGGGGAGAGGCGGTGTCCTGCGGCGTGGGCGGGCGCAGACAGGGCCTGTAGGCGGAGAGGGGTAGAAGGGGGGGGCAGCCTTCCAGGCTCTTGGGCACACACGGTCGCATCGCACACTCTTCTAGGGGAAACGCAGAGCAAACGCAACTGCTTGAAAATAAGTAGTTTACACAGAAAGTAGTTGGAGGGGAAAAAGGATGTTGCCAGTAACAACCAACCTCTTGACCCAGTGTTTCACGACCTTCTCGAGGTAGCTGTTTCCTTTGACCTCGGCCTTCATAGCACACAATACTCTTGAGGGATAAAACGAAGAACTTAAGAAGTGCGAAACCTCTGCGACACGTTGCTAAAAGGATAGACAACGTTTGTTCAGATCCTTTCGGAGCAAATCGTAAAGTGATTTTTTTTCTTCTAAGTGCATTGAAAAAACACC